GGGGTAGGCAGGGGCACCATTTCAGATTTTGGGTGGGGTGGGCAACTCATGCATGCCGTGATAGGGTGGAGGGAGGGAAGAGAGTGAAAGTAAGAGTGGACTGAGGACAGTGCCTTCAGCAGTGTTACTGAGCATGCTCAGTACAAGCCAAGCACTAAAGGGGGGGGGGGAACCAACCCCATTAGCCACCTCCCACATCATCTCTATCCAAAAAAAGGGGCTCTACTTTTTTTGGCAGACCACTTAGCTGACAGGAGCACTGTATCTAATTCCGATATTAAAGAGAGAAAATTAAATAAATATTAGACACTTAGCTCTAACGCTAACATATTCTGACATCTTGTGGCAAGTCACTTAAGGGGCACTAGTTAGCCTTAACATTTTAATGTATATTCTTTCTTTGTTACTAACTCTGTAGAGAGACCCTGTCAAGACTCTCGGGCTCTATCCGAGCTCTGGAAGAGGAGTGGCGTCTCGTGAGTTACAGCAAGGGGACAGATACATTTCAGCTCTCTATAAAAACATCAAAATGGCCATACTGGGTCAGACCAATGGTCCTTCTAACCCTGAATCCTGTCTTCAACAGTAGCCAATGCCAGGTGCTTCTGAAGGAATAAACAGGAGAGACAATCATCATGAGCCATCCCCTGTTGCCTGTTTTGTTGGTTTTTTAAATCTGCTGCCTATCAGTTTAATTGGGTCAGCTGCTTCTGTTATGTTAGTGAAGGAATGAATAATATTTCCTTATTCTATTTTTCCACACCATTCATGATTTTTCTAAACCTCTAACATATCTTCCCATCCTTTAGTTACAAGCTGAAAAGTCCTAGTCTTGTTAATCTCTCCTCAGATGGAAGCTATTCCTCACCCCTAATCATTTCTGCTGCCCGTTCTGTACCTTTTCCAAATCCAGTATATCTTTTCTAAGATGGGGTGACCAGCAGCGTTCCCTCTAAGATTTTCCAACCGTGAGTAGAGTGAGTTTTAGCTTGTGCACCAATATTGAGGTTGTGCACGTTGGTTTGGATGTGTGCCACTATGGCACCCAATTTATTAACATACACTTTCATGGCTCTGAAGCAGACACGCCCCGTGTACCTTTTCCAAATCCAGTATATCTTTTCTAAGATGGGGTGACCAGCAGCGTTCCCTCTAAGATTTTCCAACCGTGAGGAGAGTGAGTTTTAGCTTGTGCACCAATATTGAGGTTGTGCACGTTGGTTTGGATGTGTGCCACTATGGCACCCAATTTATTAACATACACTTTCATGGCTCTGAAGCAGACACGCCCCGTGCCATGCAGCAGGTCCTGGCTCCCTGCCCCACTGGCTCCCTCACCACGCCGTCTCAATCTATGGCACCCAATTTATTAACACACACTTTCATGGCTCTGAAGCAGACATGCCCCCCGCCATGCAGCAGGTCCTGGCTCCCTGACCCTCTGGCTTCCTCACCATGCCGTCTCAAGTGGCCCTGCTCACTGGAACAGCTGCCTGCCACGTGGCTCTCCAGAGGAGGTAGGCGGGAGAAGAACTTTTTGTGCACAGCTGTGCACCTTCAGGTGCGCACCTGAGCAGGAACTATGGTGGCCAGATCGCCACGTGGCTCTCCAGAGGAGGTAGGCAGGAGAAGAACTTTTTCTGCACAGCTGTGCAGGTGCGCACCTGAGCAGGAACTATGGTGGCCAGATCCACATAGTGTTCAAGATGTGGGCATACCATGACTTTACATAGAGACAATATGGTATTTTGTCTGATCTATTCCTTTCCTATTGATCCCCAATATTCTGTTAGCTTTTAGGTTTTTAGACTGACACTGTACTTCGAACAGATGTCTCCATGGAACTAGCCACAATGATTCCAAGATCTCTTTCTTGAGTGGTAATAGCTATTTCAAACTCCATTTTTGTATCTATAGTTAGGATTATATTTTCCCATGTGCATTACTTTGCACTTATCAACTCTGAATTCCATCTGCCCTCGTGTTGCCCAAATCACCCAGTTTTGTGAGATCCCATTGCAACTCTTTGCAGTCAACTTTGGAGTAGTCACTGTTTACCCCTTTTTCAGGAACATTGATGAGAAGTTTAACAGCAGTGGACCAACTGCAGATCCCTGCAGCACAATACTCATTCCTACTCTTCCCCCCCCCCCCAATATTTTAAGTGGAGTACCCAGCAATGTTTTCATGATGATCTAATCATCCTTCAATTGCTTGAATACCCAGCCTTTTGTTGATAATTACCCTGCCTCCATCTTTTTATTACACTCACTCTGCTAACGGCAAAGCTGCAAGCAGCTCAAACTCTTGCATTTAAGAACTGCCTCTGGAGTCAGGCTATGGAGGGCAGGGAGATTGTGCGTGTAACCAATGAGACCGGGTTCATAAATTGACTGTGTACACGTTTTCACAGTCATGGCCCTAACAGGAAGCAGATGAGACCTCAGGTGTCTGTGTGATCATAATTCCATTCCTTCATTCCAGTGGCACTTGGAGCCCTTTGTAATCCCTTGCACTAGGTTCCTGGCTGGGTAGCATTGTGGATATGAGGAATGTCATATGTGACCAAATACTGTGTTCGCTGCGTTGGTTGTTTTGGAATGGAATGCTCTCTTCATAGAGTTAATCCAATGATATTTCAAAGCTGTCTTCTGATGTTTTCTCTGTGTGCCTGAAAACCATTTAACTAGCTCTCCAATACTTTGCTGCCTTTTGACTTGCATTGCACTGTAGATGGCACTATAAAGCAAGGATCTGGGTGACAGAAATCTATTAAACATCACCATTCCAAACTCTAATTGCTGTCTAATATGGTTTCCTCTATAGGTCCCCGGAGTGAAGGAAAATTTCTGAAATGCAGAAATGCTTGTTTGTAGCTGCAAATGGGAATTTGGAATAACTCTGAAAATCACACTGAAATAATTGTGTTTGACTGGAACAAAATTCTTGCAAAGTCCCCAAGGTAAGACAACTTTTTATCTTTAGAATTGGCAATGAAGATTTGCCATTTTGGTTAGCAGTAATACCCAGTTGAATCAGTCACAGGGAACAGGCAAATAATCTTTTTAAGAGTCATCCCATCAACATCACCTGCTAGTGAATGTGAAGTGCCCACCTCTTATTACATGGTGTCTATCTAACTTCAGTTTTCATTCCCTTTTAAAAGAAAACAAAATGCTATTCTTTACCCTGGTGAGTCGAAGATGAAGATAACTATGCTGTTGTCTATGCACAAAGTGTGTAGTGCTTTAACTACACACACACAGCGAAATTATACACCACCACCTAGCATCAAGGCAATTATACCAGTTTAAAGGCACTTTATGTTGGTACAGCTGTTCCTATATGTTAATGGGAATACACTATACTGGTATAAAAGGTGCCTTATACTAGTATAATTGAATCCATAGGACAGATTGTACCAAGTAAAAACAATCAGCTCCCTAAACAAAACAGTTGTACTGTTACAAAATTTCTGTGTGAATCAGGCCTTTGTGAATGAGTTTAACACCAGCAGAAGGGGGCTTGAACTGAAATCCAGGATACCTAACCTTTGCAGGGGGTCCATATTCGGCCCTGGCCCATCTCTTTAGAGCAGTACACTTTAGAACCGTTGCCTTTTTAGAAGTAAACTTGTCAGGATGCTAGGGCCAGATTTTCAGTCTAGCCCTGTACTATAATTGGAGCCAGACCTTTTAGAAGAGCTTAGCTTCCATTTAAGCATCAAATGAAGGGCTGGGTTTTCAGAAGTGCGCAGAGCCCGGCAGCTTCTGCTGAGAACAATGGAGAATCAACCTCTTTTGTCCACGAGAACAATGGGAGCTGCCAGACCCAGAGCACAGCTGTCCAAACGAGGTTTTCAGAATTTTCAAAACTCTGCCTCTGTGTGTTTGGTTTTTGAGATGTTGGATGCTCCCCTCAGAATACAGGGCTCTGAATGTTTAAATTCGAAGGGTCTAGCAGCTTTCAGTTACACTGCGGTGTAGCTGAAGGAACACCACTGGCTTCAGTAGTGCTTCTTCAGATGTACACCGTGGAAACCGGGGAATGAATTGGGTTCACCGCAGGGAGCTTGGTCCATTCCCAGTGTTTTTGCTCAGCAGGATTGAGTGATGTTGATGACCAGAATAACAGCATATATCCACGCTGCATATTTTGTATGTGTTACTAAATGCCCATGGACTCCAGGTCATGCATTCAGGAGCATGTGATATAAGGGAAACGGGGAAAAATTCTGCTTTCGGTTAGGCAGCAACTGCCCTTCCAAGACTGTGGGGTTGAATTGGGATAAGTTTGAGAGAAGGATCTGGCCCGGAGTTCTTTGTCACAGGTAAGCAGATTCCAAAGCTTAGCTGGGGAGGTGTCTTTTTCTCTGATTGCCATTGTCTTCAACCAAGATCAGGCCTTAGCTGAAAACACTGATAATCCCACTTACATCCGACTCCAGTCATGCAGTTCCATTAACTGTAATGATGGTGCTGGATTCACACTGGGCTACTTGAGGAGTATCAAGCCCAGAGTGATCCACTGAAGTGGAGCTCCTCAAAGTTAACAGCTGGGCCAGTCCTGAGTGAACTCCATAAGTGGACGACTACAAGTGCACGGCCCAGTGTGAGCATCCACTTCATGGGTCTGATCCTCATTTACACCAAGACTCCTTTACCCATTGTAGCAGCACAACAGTGTAAATGGGAATCTGGTCTAGATGACTATACAATTAATGGATAAGACTGGGTTTATTGATTAATTTGGTCGACTACACACAAGCTTCCCCCCTTGCTGCCTCTGTATCAGAGGCAGCAAGCGGGGAGAATGGGAGCTGATGCCCATGAGGAGCTGTCTTAAAAGCTGGCTCCCCATGAGCATCAGATCCGCCTGCCCCCACACCTGCGCAGCTGCCTCTGATAGAGAGGCAGCAGTGTGGAAGGTGATGGGGGCAAAGCGAGAGCTGATATGGACAGGGAGTTGGCTTTCAAGAAGGGTCCCTGTGCGTGCCAGCTCTATGGACCTGCTTCTGCCCTATACTTTGCTGACTCCTACAGAGGCAGCGGGGGGTGGGCGGGCAGGCAGGAGATGGTGCTGAGGGAGAGCCAAGGAGCAGCCTCTGTCTGTGGGGAGCTCAGACCCCCTGTGGACAGGCTGCTGGCCCTGCCTCCGGGAACTATTAAATAGTTGTGTATTCGCATGAAATTTTAGCAGTTACACAACTATTCAAGTACATGCAATCTAACATCCCTAATCCGGTACTATGTGTTTTCCTCCTTGATAGCTTTGTTTGGGCAATATAACCACACTGGCTTAGGATAGTTGCTTAGGATAAGCAGACCTCTGCTTTCCTTTGAAGAAGATCTTAAAATCTTGTCTGGCTGGTTGAAGTTCAACACCATTTTCTTAAATCAATAGACCTCATTTACTACTTAGTCACCATACAGCCAAGACACTTTATAATAGAGGGCTAGTAGTACAACAGGCTAGTAGTGTGTGATATTACAAAGCGCTCCTTAGAGCAATTTGGGAAGTACCAACATTGCCATTAGGGTATGTCTAGACTACATCTCTCTGGCGACAGAGGGATGTAAATTAGACATACCGAAATTGCTAATGAAGCAGGGATTTAAATATCCCGCGCTTCATAGCATAAAAATGACTGCCGCTTTTTGTCGCCACAGAGCTTTGGTGATGAAAAGTGGCAGTCTAGATGCGGATCTGTCGCTCACTAAAGCCTTTGACAACAGATCCCTTATGCCTCGTACAATGAATAAGTGAAGAAGGAAAGCTCTTGGTGATTGATGCAGGACAGGTTACAACAGGCAAGCTATTCTAAATTGCTCTGTCTACACTACATACAAATTTCAAAAGAGGATATGCAAATTCCGCAGGATCTTTCATAAGTGCAAGTAGTCTGGTTCTGTGGGAATTTGAATCTCTTCTTCTGATCTCACTTTTGAAACCAAAAAAATGAGGTTTACGCAGCTTTTCGAAAAAGGGGGGTGGGTGCCAAAAAAACCGCGTCCTGACTACTTTCACTTTTGAAAGTTCTGCATTCGAAACTGAGATCAGAAGAAGATATGCAAATTCCCATGGAGTTTGCATATCCTCTTTTGGGAAAACAACAACAACAACGTATCTTAGACATGCCCAATGAGAAAATATGAGATCCGGTCTTTTGATGGTCTATTTCTTTAACATTTTCTTAACCAAGTGGAAATGCTTCTGGCAGTAGGTATAGTAGAGGGGTCCATTTTCTGAGATCTTCTCCATATATATATTTTTTGGCAAATGATCAGAATATTTACCCTCTTGCACAACCAGACTAGCCAAACAGTTAGAGTTCTTTGATAATGAAATAAAGAAGTTCTCATACAATTACACTGAAATCTGCAACAACCAGTGCAGAAGGAATATATAGATTTTTATCGGTGAGTGGTGCTGTGATCTAATAAGGATGCTCATCTTAGACTTTTCCAAATCCCAGCATGCTGGTTAACTGCAGAGCAGAGCCACTGCTATGAAAAGAGTATTTAGGTTAATTTATGCACATCCATAGATGATTTTTAATTGGCTTGAGACCAGTCTCACAGCTGGAAAATGGACTCGAAGGGTACAAGTGTACAGTGCCCTCTTGGGTACTTTGTATCCATAATATAGCCTCCTCCTTCAACTGAAGAAAACGATCACGTTGTCTTTCCATGTGATGAATGCTACTGTGGCAGCCGTGGCAGAGGAATGAAAGCCAGGAAGACCTGAACTGTAATGCTGCCTTCCGCTGGGCCAGATTCCACCACTCTTACAAGGCAATGTAGCTTAGTCTGAATAGTCCCATTTGGAAGGAGCCGTGGAATACATTGCTATTCCGCATGAATGAGAGCACTGGAATCTGCCCTGTTTAATGCAGCTGTGCTGTGACAAACAGCAGTTCCCCAATATCTAGGTGAGAGAGGCAATGTTTGCAAAGCAAATTGTGATCATATTTCCCTCCTCTCCCCCTTCCCCCTCCCCCGGGGCTCCGCCCTCAATAGCCCCCTTGATTCTCAGCAGGAGGGGTGACATGCTGCACGTTTTGTGAAAACCCAGCAACTTGACATAGGTACCTAAATGGGAGCTGAGCTTTATTTTGAAAGTCTGTCCTGAGAATAAATAGATCATAGAGGGATTTTCCTATTCTTGTTTCTGAGGGTGAGCTGGATCCAGTTGAAGGCCCTCACATGCTCAAGGTAACATTAAAAGACATAAATAAATTAATGGGGGTTAGGTCCATCACTGTCTGCAAGTCAGGATGGGTAGGAATGGTGTCCCTAGCCTCTGTTTGTCACAGGCTAGACATGGATGACGGGGAGGGATCACGTGATCATACCCTGTTCTGTTCACTCCCTTTGGGGCATCTGGCATTGGCTACTGTCAGAAGACAGGACACTGGGCCAGATGGACCTTTGTGGGCGTTCTTACGTAAATTAAAATATACAGAGATTGAAATGTTGTCTTTGAGCATGTGAAAGCACAAGGTTCTTATGTTTTAAATATACAGAGATTGAAATGTTGTCTTTGAGCGTGTGAAAGCACAAGGTTCTTATGTTTCAACCCCTCAACCCCTGGGCCTTCTTGGGTTCTTTCTTTTCGAACCCAGTGAAGTCACCTAAGAACACACATGGGTGTGTCGATAACCGTGACAGCTCTTCTAATTATGAAACACACTTAGCAAGGCATTGATCCCAACCCGAGTGTGAATTTTTGGTTTTTACCAGTATTACCTTGCAATAAACCATTTCAATCACTCATCAGTATCTTTTCAGATTTCCTCTTCCCAGAAGCGCTTTTAACATTGTTCCCTAGTTGTATTGTTCTTTCACTCAGCTGCTTTCTTTTCTGCCTCCAGGATGAGATTCTGTGCCAAATCAATGCTTCTATCTCACTGGCTCTTTCTGGTCTATGTGTTAATGGTGTGCTGTAAATTGTTGTCCGCCTCTAGCCACCATCCCCGAGGGCACGCAGGTAGGAGCTTTTAAACTCATTACATGCTACTGAGACCAATTAATAACACTTGCAGAATGTTAGTCCGTTTTTTCGCCATGGATAATTGATGAAGCTGTTGACAATGCGTTTATAATCAGTGAAAAAGGTTAAAATAGCGACAAGAGTTGTAAAACCTTTTGAAAGTTTACAGCAATTTTAGATAGTTGCTCCAAATAGGTCTCGTGAATGGTGCGTCACAGAGGGGAAGATTTTGGGACTTGTTCTTATTTTTCATTTGAAATATTAGATAACTACACATGCAGTTTCTGTTTTGATATATAGCTTTATCTGCCATTTCTTAATGTCAGCACTAGAGAAAGTGCCATTGGGTTAAGCCCTTAATGCCACTTAAGGCAATCCTTCCATTAAATTACCCCGACCCTTCTTATTAAATGAATCCTTGACTGAATATTACCCGTTTTCTTACCCTGGCTGTTGAGGCAAACCAGGAGAAGCTGTGGGTGAATCACAGGAGGAAGCTGCTTTCTTGTAATGTTACAGGATAGCACACTCTTACCCGTATACCAGAGCCTCCAGTCGGACACCCAGACTGGGGCATGTTCCCAGTGCAGTGCAGTTGCACTGGGTTTTCAAACTTTTTTTTTCTCCTGACCCAGTTGAAGAGAATGTTGATGCCCGCACCCCAGCATAATTCTGTCTTTTGACTAGAACGCGGACTATGGGTGGGGCCAGGAATTAGGGAGGGAGTTCAGGGCTGAGGCAGGGGGTTGGGGTACAGGTTTACTTCCAATGGCTCTGTTAGCAGTGCTGCAGGGGGGGGGTACAGGTTTACTTCCAATGGCTCTCAGTCAGCAGTGCTGCAGGGGACCTAAGGCAGGTTTTCTGTGTGTCCTTGCACCACAGGCCACACTGCGCCCTGGAAGTGGCCAGCAACAGATTCAGCTCTGAGGCAGAGGTGCGCAGGCAGCTCCGTGTGCTGTTCTTGCCAGTAAGCATGGCCTCGCCCCCCAGCTCCCATTGGCTAATTCCTAGCCAATGGGAGTGGGAAGCTGGTGCTCAGGGCAAGGACAGTGCTTGGATTCCCGCATCCCCTTCCCCCATTTAGGAGCTGGACCTGTTGCTGACCACTTCCTGGGCACAGCATGGTCACCCTACCACAAAGTGACTCAGTGCCTGACCTCCTGGGACCCAGAGCTGGGTCGTGACCCGTACTTTGAAAACTACTTTGTTAGAGGTTCCATCTTTCAGGTGAGACGCTATTGCTATCCTTCCTGCCCTCTTCCGGTGATTGTCCCAGTGGAAGCTAAAGGATCCCTGTGTTCTTGCCAAAACACCTTCTCTAACTGAAGCAAGCACCAGCAGTTGGGGGCCTTATACGCACTGCCTACAGCTGCTGCATTTGTCTACATGCCCACGCTACATCAGCATTGCTGCATCTTGAAGAGCTGCACAAAGCTCTCACTACTATAAATAATTGACTCCCAGCAGCTCCCCACTTATCACTGGGGGCTCTCCAACATTGTAAGTCCCTTTGATCAGGCTGCGGTGGGTTACTTGGCACTGCTTTTGCATCCCTGAGTGCCCTGATTGATTTATGAGTTATTGAAATTTAACCTGTCTGTCATTCAGCAACTGTCCCAGGCTCGCTCTGAAGCGTTTAGTAGCGTTTATGAGAAATGAAACAGAAGAAAAATTGGTAAATATGAGTTACTTGAGCGTAGGTATTTGCTGGGGAATATTGCCATTGCTCCAGCTTCATCACTACACTCAGTAGGTGTGCACTGATTTATGCTTGCTGTCCCCTAATGTGTATGGTTGGATGTAAATCTGGTCTGAAATGGAAGTGATGGGTTGATGGTTCATGCACTGGAAGTGCTTGGGTGCTGCTGCTTGTACCAGTTGGCATTCTAATTAAGGTACCGTATAAAACATTCTGTACATGGCTAAAAATTTCAGCTCCAGGTAATTTAACACCAGAGGATGATGGAGTGTTACCCTTATCTCCCAGAGAGTCCTTTTCCTCTTTTTGTGGGAACGGCTTGAGTGACTTTGTAGCCAGTCTTTCCCTTGTAGAAATTGCACTTTCTGGGGCTATGTCTACAGTGGGAAGATGTGGCAGCAAAAGTGGTGTTGACATCAAAAGTGAGCCCTGGTTTTTCTGCCTCCCATTATTGACACTTCATGGCCACTTTGCTAGCTCCCCCATTGACCCATAGAGCAAAGCCATGTGAGTAAATATCCCACAGTGCAGTGTTGTGGGAAGGCAGAGCTGATCCCTGCCCTACTTGGGATTCCCTCATGGCTCTGTGAGCTCTCTGTGCTGAGGAATGTCAAAGTAGTACCGCTGTCTCCTCAGCCCTCCCCCTGCAGCAGCAGTCTGCCTGCCACCGTGTTTCTAGCAGGATAGAATTGGAGCATTCCAGTGATTTTTCTCTTTTGTTTGTTCCCCAAATGGAGTAGCTCATCCAGCTGTCTAACTTCCTGGCACTTTGAAAGGGGAGGGGTGCATGCCTGCAGGGCAGCAGAGATCACAAAACACCAAGCACTGCCATCAGGGCAGGCATTGTAGGATACTGGTGGAAGCCAGTTTTCCTGACAAAACAAAGTTCATATTGGCTCTTTGTTGACAATAAAGGGAGGGGGAAAAGACAAAAATCTCTTTGAAGTGGAAGTTTTTTGTCACCAAAACTGGGCGTGTCCCTCTCTCCCGGACTACAAACTCTACAACTACAACTCTCACTGTTTTGCCAACAAAATGCAAATTTTGGTGACAAAAACATGCAGTGTAGACAAGGTTTAAGAAAGATTGGGGACAGACAACTGAGTGTGTGTCATCTTGTCATTCCAAAAAACAGCGAGTTCCTCATCTGACATCATAGTTGAATTTTCACTCTAGAATGCAACAAAATTAGTAGTTGGAAAACACGCTTCCAAAAATGTCCTTCAGCCAAGAATTCCATCGTAGCTGTGTTTAAAAAAAAAAAATCAGGTTTATTTGTGTCTCTTTAAAATGCACTTTACATACAGTCCCAAGAGAGAGACCTGTGACAGGAAAAGAACATCTTCTATTATGTGCATGGATGATGGGTGTTTATGAAACAGTGCAAATGATGGTATTCTTTTCCCTTCACATGTCAAAACACATAATTGCATAGTTTGAGTTGGCACAAATTTGTTCTCCCTGTAACAAGCAGCTATTGTAAAGTATAAGCAATCTACTTAAAATTAAGTAAATCTGCTTAAGTAGCTCACTGTGGGTTAGGTCAAAGAAGCATGCAACTAATAGACTCTTAAATGTTTGCTTCTAATGATCAATTTGGCCAAAATCTGTGGTGTTTACTTTGACAGAACTCCTATTCCACTGGTTTTTGATCTGTTTTATAGAAGACTATGTATTTAAGTCACTGAACTTATTTACTAAAGCAGAATCAATGGCCAAATTCTTGGGTGGAGGTCTTGGTGTTGTAAATGGGAAGATTTTAAAGTGGACAGGAGAAAGCATTAACTATGGAGGCATGAGAGGACATTGGAACACATTCATACTTTCATCTCTGTGCAGAAATCTTCCTCTCTCCCTTAGTCAAACAGCTGCAGTTTGTCATTGGCATGGGGAGATGAGAAATGTCTCGTTTACAGGAGGCTGGCTGCAGTGACATGATGATTGAGATTGGAGCTAGAGTTAAAATTGCCTGGCTTTTCTTACTAATCCAGACACCCTCCGCTTTCTGTGTTGAAGTTCACTGTGAACCAGGAGTGATGTAGGGCAGTAATACTCAACCTGGGGGTAGGAAGAGGTCTTTCAGGGGGTACATAAACTCACTAGTTTAAAAGGCTACATAAGAAGCACTAGCAAAGTCAATACAAAGTAACGTTGCATAGAGAATGACTTTCTGCTCTTTGTAAGTACAATTGCTATATTCCTCTTGGCTGACTTTCTCCTTATCTCATTATAAGGTCATTTTTCAGTAATCACGTGTGCCATGATCCTTTTTTGCATTCTTATGTGTGATTTTTGTATGTGTTTAAATGAGGTGAAATTTGGGGGTTTGTGAGACCAGTCAGGCTCCTGAAAAGGTCTGGAAAAGAGGCGAGCCCCTATTCTGGGTAAGATTAGATTTTCCTTCCCAACATCCTTTCGCTTCTGCAACTTCTATAGAGTCTATACCTTCTTCCCCCCCAATACCGTTTTTTTAAAAGAGATAACGTAAGAGGAACCTTTTGCCAGGAGATTGTAGCATGCATAGGATCCCTTTAACAATAGTTTCACTTTATCAAGCCCAAGCTCTGTGGATTCCTAGATTCCAGCAGGAGAGAGAGAGTACACGTTCCGAGAAATACTTACGCCTAGCTGAACTGGTTCATAATGTCCTCTAAGGCAGGGGTGTGGAACCTATACTCCATGACCTGGATCTAGCTCATTGCTTATTTTCATCTGGCCTGTGGCAAGCCTTGGTGCATAGCCCCCCTCAAGGCTGGAGCTGTGAGTGCTGGTTCACCCCACTGCGGGGGGAAAGCCACAAACTTCTGTAGCCCTCGAGGTAGATGAGTTGAATGTTTTATATTTTTTTCTCTCTCTCTCCCTCTCCCCCCATTTAGGTTTTTTTTTTAAAGTTGCTTTTTATTTGTATGTGGCCTGCAGTGGATTTTTTTTTCTTGTGGGTCAGTGACCCACAGTAGGTTCCTCACCCCTGTCTTGTGGGCTTACCTTTTCAAAAGAGACTACTGGTTGAACCTCTCTAGTTGGTCACCCTCAGGACCTGACCAGTGCCAAACCACAGGAGGTCAATATTGTCTAGCAGCATTACCAACACTGCCACTGCTTACTGGGCTCTTAGAAGACATTTAGGGGTAAATTAGAGTTAAATGACAGCACAGAACTCTGAGCGCCAGGACGGGTGGCTGTAAAACTTTATGGGACTGTGGGAAACTTGGCCACACCCATGATACGTGAACATACAGGTAACTAAAATCTTGCTGGACCATGGATGTTGCTGGACCAGAGCATGCCAGACTAGAGA